CTTCAAATCTCTTTCCCGATGGTAAGGAATCGATCCGTGTGCTAGTCTGTGAGGGTCTGACTATTTGCACAGCACAGGAAATTGAAGCAGGAGGATTAAGAATCTCACCTAAGTTTTTTTGCAGGCTACATCTGCATGCTGCAGAGCAGTGTAGTGATCCTGGCAGTCAGATCATGCAGAACAGGGACCAGGTGGATTTGGCAGGATTAGACTGAAACTCTTTTTCAGCTATGGTTTCCATGGGCATCACGGTAGGGAAGGGAGGGATGTGCACTCCCTGATCTTGTCTCATGCCCAGAGCCTGGGCATGGTCCTGGCTCTTCAGGCTCAGACACTGCCAAATGGGGAAGGATGAAAGCTGGGACTAGAACTCAGGGCACTCAGTTCCTAGCACTACTTGTTGTTAACTAGAGAACATTAAATAACAGACACTTAGAAGGAAATTAATGTAAATTAAATAGAAACATTAAGCAATAACACAGATGAAAGAAATGGCAGATGTAGGGAACCAATCTACTTTGCTGTGATTCTCTGTGAACAGTGAAACTACCCTAAAAGTTCACAAATTCACAAAAAGTTCAGACTTAATTAAAAAGTTGTTAAGGCTTTGAGTACTACAGTAATAGCAGTTCTCACCACCCATGAGCTCTCCATTGGCTTTCATGGCTAGGGTATAGGAAGATTTGGACCATATGTGCATGAGGCAGTGAGGGGCAGGAGATTCATGCAGACCCAAACCCTTGAATCCCAGCCTCCCAAAACCAAGCAGCACGCCACCAAAAGCAGCCCCTGAAGCTTTCTGCCCTGCATGGCTTGCAGGATGGCAAATTCAGGTAGCCAAGGAACATTAAGCAATAGGCAATGGCTGCAGAGAAATGGTAATGGGGTGGAGAGGAAAACCTCTTTCCCAGAAACACAGGCTCAGCAGAAGGGCAGATGACAAACTTTCCGCCACTGGCATGTTCCTAGGAAGAAGCAGAACCCACTATACTGAGCGACTTTTAAAATACCCAAATCTCCGTGGGGAAGTTCAGCATAACAACTGCACTCACTGTTCTGTGCTCGCTTTATCCAAAGACTCTCTTCATCCACCCTACAAGTACCTGTTTTAATCCACTTGGAAAGCAGATAAAGCCAGTTCTCAAAAAGGCAGGCCTGATGTGGGATGAGGGTGCCACGGAGGGAGGCAGGGCACAGCAGCTGGTATACTTTGCACATGCCATGACAATGGACTAAAATGTCCACCAAGGATGCCAGCAACAGGGTACATTAAGCCCCAATAACATTTCACCTACTAGTAACTGGTTTCTACTAGACCTCGTTTATCTTTTATTATTATTTTTTGAGGCTCTGATTTCATTCATTTTCAATATTTCGCTTGTTCTACTAAGCTGAGGTTCACTCTATTTCTGTAGGACCCAAATAAATAAATGTGTCTCAAGACATCTTACCTACGTCCTATTACAAATACCCTCTCTAGAGGAGACACAAAGCCACGATTTGTAAAAAGAAATCTCTGGAACAGTGTAAACTTGAAAAGGGAACACTGTTTTCAAAACCAAAGTTCTAGGGTCTTCCTCCCTCTCAGAATCAACAGAGCTCTTGCTTTAAGGTACCACTAGTCATAAAAAAATGTTTTAGCAACGAGCCACATTAATGGCATCTTCTACAACAAGCTGCTAGGAATAAACCAGAATTCATTTCCTTTAGGGGACAAGAGGCTTCCATGGGCAGAGTAGCTGTATTTGCTTTGTAAATTGCAAATGTCTGAAAACATTGGCTGAAATGATAAAAACTGATGTGGTGGTGACACAACATACTTCTTGCTCACCTTTCTTGAGAGGTAGCAGTAGCTCTCCCCAGTATTTACAGCAGGGGTTATAGACGTGCAGTACATCAAGAAACAGTGTTTTCAAAAATTAATGATAGCAAGTAAAAAAAAAATAGAAAAAAAAGAATTAAACCTTGGGATCCAACAATACCCAAACAGCACAGCTACAGAGGTATGGACATTTAAAAGGTTTCCATTCCCTGGTCTGCAGACTCTGTACAACTTGTCCCCTCTGCAGGAGATTAAGGGAGCTCTATGGCTACTCTAATTTGCATCATCTGCCAATAATCCCTAGTGGCTGACATGGAGTCAAAGACAGGCATGACAAATGGGCATCCCTGCCTTTCTCACAGGCACAGCCCTCTTCCCTCATTACTCTGGTGTTCCTGTCAGGAGAGAGAAAATGCTGATAAGAGCCACCAATTCAGCTCCTTGGCCGTGTCCCCCATGCAGATAAGGAGACCCTCCCCGGATGAACAACATCTGCTTTAGACACGACTGTACCTGGGAGATTAGGCACCAAGTGGCCTCGTTACGGGAGCATAATCTCCTTTGCATCTGACGGGGAAGAGCAGGCACGAGACAGATCTGAAAATCGGCTCGCTGCCTCCCAGCCCTGCAGTGCCTGCATGCCTGCAACTCTCCTGGAACCCAGAAGGCCTTTTGTCTTCTCCGGAGCCCAGCTCTGAGGCCACGGATTCTGCTGGGTTTGCTTTAGCTCGGCTATGTAGTGTCAACAGAACAGCAGCTCCGGCTGCACGCAGATTGGTTGGAAAAGTAGGTCAGCATGTGACAAGCTGCTCTCAGAGTAGCGATTCTCTCTCCTCTCCCTTCCCTCTTTGCAAATGAAGAGTGCTAAACTAGTTGCTTTGAAAAGCACGCAGGCGTTCGCCCTGTCGAGCAGGGGTAGAGCCATTTTGCCGAGCACGTTGCGGTTCTAGACTGCTATTTTCTTGTGCCATTTAGAACAATATGCCCCATGTAACAGGCATCATAGAAGAAAGCACTTGTTAGTACCAACATTCAAATTACTTACCAAAAAGATGGTTTGAATCCTAGAAAACAATGGGAGTATATAAGCAAGACCAAAATAATTATAAATATTAAATGAATATTCATAAAAAATGCAAAGTTTTTACGCAGTTCAAGATTTTCTGCCGCAGAAAATGAGTTTCACAGTTGTATGCCAAAAGAACAGTCAAAAACGGTGTTTTAGCACAGAATACAAAGTATTCATTGAAAAGGTCTTACATGTTCATCAAATAAAAGAGCTGTAAGAAAATCAGATAATCTGTGCGATCTGCCTCAGCTACCAGCACTGCCCGGTGGACGTGGATCTGCAGTGTGCAGGGAGCTGTTCTTGGTTTCTAAACCCGAGTTCCCCATGACAAGCCACTGCCCATTTACGCTCAGGTGAGAAACACAAAGAAAGAAATGAGGAGCGCCCATAGATTAACCACCAAGCAATCAAAAGGAACAAATAAAACAAATAAACCCAGCAGACAATTTACCACCCAGACACACTCTTAATGATACTGGGAACTTCTAGCAGGTAGATGGGTGACTCCTTCAACTTCTCTAGATAGTTTAACTCTCTATGTATGTCTTTGGATTCCCATCCTTACAAAACAGAACAAAAGATCACTGTAAATATATGCACACCACTAACAGGCATTACCTTGAAAGGGCTCTCTCTCAGATCATATATTTAATGTAATGAAGTACTGAGGGCATGAGTTGTAGTATCAAAAATGTCTTTCTGTCCTAATTCAAGAAACACTATTAATTCCAAGAGGAGTAATCATGAGCTAAGAAAGCCAGATTTGGAGCTGGATCCCATTCAAGTCCCCTGGAAGTCAATGGAGCCACTCTCAGTGATTGTAAAATGAGAAGCACTGGGCTTGTGCCCATGTTTAGCGTTGGACATGTATTTTTCCATGGTACATATTTTTCCTATATATAATGCAACTTTTTCTCATAATTTCTTTTTCCTCTGCTTACAATATTACTTGTTGCTAGTATTAAATCCATCTTGGTTTTATCATACCCTGTCAGTCTCTGCATAAGTACTTGGGTAAATTTTCCCTTGAACTGCTACTTGAACTGTTTGAGGCTGAAGTAGCCATAATTTGTTCCACCTTTGGACACGTGCTACATTTCAGGCAAAGCTTAAGAAGAAATCATTTTATCTTTCATCCTAAAACAAGCACGGACCCATTACTCTTGGGTCTGTTACTCTTACTAGGGCCAATGACAAATCTCCCACTGGCAGTTTGGTCAATGGGACCAGACAGACATGAAGACACAGGAACAGCAAAGGAACTTCTTCACGCAAGACTTCTGGTGCAAAGAGCTGTAGGGGAAAGTGCTGAATAGTGCCTAAATGGAATTTTAATTTCAGATAGAATAGCTCTTTATTTATCTACAGTACTGTTGTATTTTTTTGGTTCTATCATGGACTGGGACCCAACAATGCTGGGTCTTGTACAAACAGATGAGAAAGAGAAGGCCTGCCCCAAAGGGCACTATTTCTCGTACATATATACTTTAAACACACAAGCAGAAAGAAACACATTATAGTTATCATCACAATATCTCTATAGACAAGGTTTCAAGTAAATAAGGGGAGAGTTGACTATTGTAGCAATAACATTTCCAAAGAAATTTCAGACTAGCAATTAAAAGGGCTGTTTGGAGCAATGTGGAACATACTTTAGCCAGATCTAGTCTGTAAGAGCCTTATTTAATTGTTGGAACATTACTCAAATCACTGCCTTGAGGGTCCAGGCAAGATCAAGCCCCACTGTTCTGGTAAACAGGCACCATGCGCTGGGTGTACCACCAGGACACGGGCTGCACCCCGACACAGTGACACAACAGGGACAGAACTGTTCCTGCACATCAGTTGTGACATGCTCACCTGAGTGATTCCCTCAACTGATGAGGTTTAGGCAACCTCCCCTGGAAGGCCTCTAATAATTGAGGCAGTGAAAAGGATTGCAAATACTCATCTGGCTGCACCCTGTATCCGGGAGCACAGCTTAGAAATGTTGGAAATAAAAGTATCTTCTGTTGAGTTCAATTTTTTTTGTTTTATTTTATTGCAGCCAGCATAAATCAAACTTCACAGTTAACTTCCACATATTTTTCTCCTTTGCTCCCTCTCCCCTTTGCATATAGGCACTGTGGTCGTCTCTCCCCCTATGATTTGTTTAATAACAGAGGGGGGAGAAGACAGAGAAGGAGGCTCAATCTGATGTGGGAACACTTTCTCCTTTGTATCAAAGAGCCATCTGCTAATTTACAAAATACAAACAAAGTTACTGGATGTGCAAGAACCCCTGTTGAGAAGCCAGGCACAAACAGTGCCTGTACCACGGCAAGGAGTGCTGTGTTTATTCTGGAATGCACGGCTTTCCGCAGTTTCTTTTATCTTTGGGTGTTTTTTTTTTCTTCTTTTTCTCATTTTATTGATCTAAGTTCAGCATAACTAATTCACTCCAGCAAAATAATAAATACAGAACATTTATAGAATTCTATTCCTACTGCAAAAAGCACTTTTGGGGACAGAAACAGAAATCATATGGAGCAGCAACTATTCTGCAGGTTAGTGCAGGAAAGCTTTACAGCCCTGCCTCCTCCAGCCTCGGTGTTTTGAAGCCCCAGTCTCCGTCGAACCCATGAGCAGTTGGGTGACACCAGAGTCATTATAGTCCAACTGCTCTTTTCTTCCTCTCTCCCCCACTCCTTTCTGCACCACGCAGGAGGAGGCAAAATGTGACACTGAGGAAATATCTTGGCCTTGTCCTTTTTCAGTTGTTCTGCAAGTGAAAAAAAAAGGGGGGGAGTGGGAGAGATACCTTCAGTGCTCTTAATCTGCAGCAAGCAGAACGATGTGCAGCAGTTACTGTGGTCAGCCAGCTCACTGTGGTCTTACCACAGCTCATGAGAATAAATGTCACCCTCCAGAAGACACAGAAAAGAAATCATCCAGAGGGAATTTATGCGAAGCGGTTGCTAGTAGTGGTTTACGTTTAATGCTCAGACCTTTTTCTTAATTTCAGCTGGAACTGAAGTTTTAAACCATCCAAAAGTATGTACATACATGTAGACAGACGTGCAGACATATCTCCTACAAACTGGGAGTCTGTATGGCAAAGATAAGGCTGTGCACGAAGTACAACTAACACAATGCTCAGAGAGCAGGCTTCGGAATGACCCTTTTCTTATAAGCTGGACTAAAATGCATTTATTTGATTCTATATTTTCACATGAATTTGGCATTTAAGGATCATACCATGCCGACAGGTCTGAAAGGTGATGTCCTGTATTAACAGAAATAAAGAGCGGAGACTGCAGCAAGGACAACTGAAACACATTTTTTCTACCTTGTGTCTCAGCTCAAAAAAAACAACAACATTTGAAAGAAATATTCCCAAGGGACTCTGCATAGGCAGCAGAGTATAGCATATAGGGCCCAAGCAGCTCCCAGAAGGGCAGCAAGGTGTTTTGGGGAGCACATTTCCCAAGAAGGATGGATCCAGGAGCTGGTTGCAAAGCACCCAGGGGTGCTGGTGGGTGGTGGGGAGTGGTGCTGTATCTTTGTGCCCAGCACAAACCCAGCCCCTCCATGCAGCCCACTGATAAGAGGTCAGTTGCAGTGGCAGGATCCTCAGCTAGGGACATGTCCCGATCACAAGAAGGACCAAAGTCACTGTGCTGAACCTACACGGAGAGCTCCTGTCTGCACGAGCTTGCAGGCACCAGCTTCAAGGCTCTGAAATGATGGAACAGAAGCCCTGACATAGCATCAACTCTGACCATGGGGACCTGCATGTTTTTAAACTAATTTTTCATTCAAACTAACAACTGAATTCTGATGCACTGAAGGTATGGCACTGCAAAAATAAAATCAGGAAACAAATGCATTGGGTTGTCAATTCCCACGATGCTAATGAACAGAAATGAATATGTGACTGTCCACTAGTTCACAAAAGCAGATCGAAAATAAAGAAACCTTTTAAAATAATGCAATGGTCTCAGATACCACTAATGAGCCCACACATGTCAGTATGCGTGCCCTTACACGAGCACCCTGCTGGTACAAATAAGAATCAAGCATGAGCTACAGTTTGCCACCTAAGCTGACAGTCCAAGTATTCCTGCACAAATTGCCGTGGTTAAATCACAGATCTGTATTTCCTGCAAAGTAAATGCGTGCTGGATTTAGAGTGAACTATTCAATGCATAACTGATACATATTAAACGACAAAACTCTATTTACTATGATGCTCAGGACAACACTTCAGTAACATGAAGCTATCCCCATGCTAACGTCTGTTGCGTATGTGACAACATAATTTCTGTCTCCCTCTCTTCCTTCCATCCAAAAACTACATGGTTTGTCTTAACACCAGTGGAAGCAAACCTGGATCCAATGGAACCAGCAGGAGTTCTGCTAATTTATAGCAGATTTTACCCTGTATATTTTAACAAATAGTGCTGAGAGAACAGCAACATCCAGTCCATCCACTGACCACCCAACATCCTCCCAGTGGGAGGGCTCACAGCGAGCTGTGAGTAGCACTGCACAACAGATTAGCTCATTTTGCCATCTAAATCATCATCTGCTTCAAAACGTGGAATGAATGCACTGCCAAGGGTAGCTTTGACAATAATTAGTGGCAGCACACAGGTGCCAGGTTTGCTTTACTGCCCACGGCAGGCTGTCATTATTCTCCGTGCACACAGGGTAAGTCTGCTCACACCTGAGTCCCTCACCATCACGAAAACCCTTCACAGCCTCAGTGCCTGTACAGGAATCCTATGAATGGAAAATATTTACATCCAGACTAAGCTACAAGTGTTTAATAAGTACAAGCTAGAATAGCTTTTTGGAAGGGTTAAAAAGTTAATTGCAGATAAATTCCTGTTACCAACCTCTTTTTCTGTTTTTACAAGGAAAACCCCCATTCTCAAGAAATACTCCAATATTCTAAGCTATTTTAGTACCTTGGAGCATTTCTACCAGGAGCTGTGACTTCCAGGGGAGTTACCATAAGCTTGCTATAAAGCTCATCTGACATAAAAAGTCCTTGGAGATGCCATTATCAAAAACGTGGGCCTGGAATGGGAACATGTTGGCTGATTCCTATAGAATCAAATGGGAAAGTATTAAAGATGCATTAATTTTAACCATCAACCCTTTCTGATTTGTTTTCAGCATTCTTGTGAATAGATTGTGTCATTCATCACTCAGACATATTCAACGTTTTCTATTATTTCTCTAACACGGAGCCTATTTGTTCAAATATCCAGGCTATCATGTAACATCTTTCTCCCTGGGAAGGGACCAGGCAGAATGCAGGAGGCTGGAGCTGCTTTAAATAGTTTCCATTGCTCTGTGTACACAGTGTATGATTTTCCCCTATCATCCTCCAGCACTTTTCCATTGCAGCTTTCAAATGTCACACAGTGCCTTACGCACCTATCAACTCTCATGCACCGTGGGGGAAATTTTAGTTTCACTTATGTTGGCATAATCCCACTAAAGCCAGAAGGATTGCCTGGGTTTATCTGAGATCAGAAGGCAGCCTCAAGTTAGGCTGAGCTACTAAGTGCTCGGAAGGAGCAATTATGCTCTGCAGTGAAAGACGCAGGCTTCAGAATTTAGACTGACACAGGAGCTAATATTCCCCGCACAAGGATGTACAGAACTGCTGTTGCTACTTGGCCTCGGGAGGTATTTGTGCTGAGAGTGTCATTTTTTGCATAGGATAAAGCCAAATTGCTGATCATTTCTAGTTTTTAATAAATAAAATCAACCTCACATCTGATATCGTTAACAGGAAGGAGACTGGTCTTTCCGAATAACAGCGACGTATAATGGCAGTGTATCCAGACACCATCAGTGATGATAGATTAAGGAGATTAGAGGAGATGAAAGAAATAAAATTCAACCCAAGCTCTTACTGCAACGGCAATGAACTCAAATTCTTATTCTCTTGCTGTCCCAAACGACTTGGCATTGCTTGGGCTCTCAAACAACTGTCATATTTCACACCAGAAATGCTGCATTCCAGCTTAAGTTTGTGTTTTAAATTCAGTTTTGTAAGGCATTGTGGGATTTTCCAGACTGAAAGGCATCATATATAAATTTAAAATATTATTATTATTTCAACATTATTTATGGATACCATCTGTTCCTAACTCTGTTAGTGTCTCTTCTTTTTAATGTTCTTATCACAGACTGCCTTGCTTATTACTTGCTAAATTGGTCAGAATTCAGTTCAAGCTATCTTTGAGTTATATGTTTACCTCAATGAGTGCCTGCCAAGAATGATGTTTATGGCGTATCTTGCATTGATTTTAGAATTTCTGAAAGTAATAAAGCACCGAATGTGGTTCATTTATTCTCACAAATTAGAATCTGTCATATTAATAGAGTAATATAGTCCTGTCATCGCTTGTGTTTGTTTCTTTCATCAGCCTGATAGGAAGGAGAGGTTAACTTCTTGTTCCTTTAGGCTGTTTAAAAGGCCTAGAGGAAGCTCTTGGTTTCTTTTCAAGATTTTCAAGAACAACTTCAAACCTGCTCCCCCTTGCTTGTGTAAAATACTCCTGCTTTATTGCCTGGAGCCCATGAGGCTCCCTGGGGCAGGGCATTGCTCCTTGGGCAGGAGGACAGGACCAAGCTCGCCATCACCTGCACTGGTAGTGCTGCGAGTCGGATTAGGGAGGTTATATCAGAAACTGCAACAGATTCACCGAATAAACTATTACCCCCACCAGCAGCCATTGCCCCTCTGTAGCTGCCTGGAATTTTTATTTTCTTGGTTTTAACTTCATAACTCCACTTTCCTTTTCCTTCTTGCTTCCTCTTGGCTGACACACTATATAGCTGCTGCAACGATCCTCCAGCCAGGAATGCTGGATGAGCGGCTGCCCGTGGACTGGTGCCAACACCACTGGAAACTGGAAAGCAGCGCAGGCTGGCTTGCACCCGCGTCTCCTTCCAGCCTTGGATAAAAAAACAGAGCTATGCAACAGAGATTGCTGACCTCTGAACTGGAGATTTTCTCCCAGCTGCCCCTGTGGAAAAATCAGCATGTTAGGGGGCCATGCGCTAGCCGTACACGATGCCAAGCAGAGCTTCATATTTCTCTCGCTGGGTTTCGAGAATGCCATGCTGAGATCTGCGAGACATCAACTATAATCCTGAACGCATCTCTCAAAGTTTTTGTGCATTTTTGTAGCAGATCGCCCAATAATAGCACATAGCTTAAGCAACTAACGGAGCACAAGTCTGCTTCCAATGTGTCAAATAATAATTGTGCTGTAACACCACAGTGCATACATGAATAAATACAATTCTAAATTCAATGAGATATTTTCCTTCTGCTGCTCCTCCTGCCGCAAATGAATACACCAGCAATTAATTACTGTGCTCAGAAACTCCCTGCAGCAATTGTGTAATAGATTCATTTTCAGTCCCTTGTCTCGTAACCTTTCAGATAAGTTTCATGGGCCTAGAATAGCAAGCATAAAAATATATGTTTGTGCTCATTTAACGTTTGTAAATGTTAAGAGCTCTCAGACACCAGCAATGACTTCCTCAAAGTTCTGCTGCACTGCTCATGAATGCTGCAGTGTCTTTCAGTACAAGAATTATTTGGGCTCCCAACTAGGATTACGGGATCTTTCTCAATCACAGATATTTGCATGTTACATGTTATGATGAAGCTTATTTATATTTAAATTAGTAACATTTGAGAAACAGTACGATATTAGCTCTGTCAGTCATTTCAGTGGGTCAAGCCAG